AGAGAGAGAGAGAGAGAGAGAGAGAGAGAGAGAGAGAGGACAGAAATTAGAGGAATGGGTTCAGAGAAAAGCCATGCCTTGTAGGCACCCAGATTCTGCCAAGGCCAGGAAGACAAGGGAGCACCCATTTCTCTTCTTTGAACTCAGAAGAGAAAGGGAGCTCGCTAATCACAGTGCTTGCTATTCCTTTCTGCTGTCGATCACCTTGTCTTGTGGGGGTGAGGAGTTAAATCCTCTCGTTATATAATGTTCTTTCAGTAGCTTTGGAGGAGGAAGACCCCACTGAGATATTGAATTAATGTAGGTAACCAACTGTGCCTATGTGAAGCCTTATTTGACTCTCGCACACAGGTATGCTAAGGGTAAGCTATCAAAGAGCCGTAAGATCTCTCTCCACCACAATCTCTGGGCATTAGCACAGGCCTCATTCCATGGCTGCTCCTAGAGTCTTGCCTCTGTCACTAACTCCTTGTGGTTATAACTCGCAATCAATACATAAAACCTTCTCCCAGACCATATTCCCATTCAACAAGCATAACTTCAATTGAATTACCCACCTTCTTCCACCATCATGATCAACGACTTCAATTAAATTCACCTCTGATGCCACGGGGAAAAGAGGAAGAGTGTTTCCTCAGCTAACGCTGTTTGATCATTCTGCCCTCCCTCTTGCCACAAGTGTTTGCTCTCCTCTCGCAAAGCTAACGCTGCCACAGCCTCCTCGGGCGTCTGTTTCTGTGGTCTTGGTCCATTTGCCCTGTTTGCTTTGGCCACATTGCGACCACCACGTGTTCTATCAGCGTCAGATAAGAGAAACTATCTATCCAACAGAGTATGGGACTAATTAATGGTGGCTGTGAAAGTGGCAAAAGTGAAGATCCAAGGATAGCCGTCGCATGAAGATTCAATGCGCATGCCATGAGAATTCCTTTTTCTTCTCTCACTGCCAGATAAGAATAATTATATATACCTATTTATTTATCTCACATAGTATAAATCTTGAGTTATATACATATGCATGATCTCAAACAGCCATGTTATGGTGTGGAGAAAAGGAACAAAAGCACTGCATCCTAATTTAACATATATATATATATATATATATATATATATATATATATATATATATATATATATATATATATATATTTCAACTTCCAGCTAATTAGATGGATTGGCAACAAACTGAATAAGAAGATTTAAAATTAGATATGTGAGGATAATTTCATCCAATCATTTAAACATGAACCAAATCCTTAGATTATTAAGAGGGATTTCAGAAAATCTTTTGTGCATCTGATATAGAATTTTCAATAAAAATGTGTGTGAAAATTGATATTGCATTCGAGAAGGAGGCCACATGGATCAACAAGGAAGGAAGAAAGGAGGAGACAGAAGGACAAGTAGAGGATTTAATATGCTTACTAAAAGATACTGAATTAAAACGTGTTTAGGTATCGACCAGATAGATGTCATGGCGATTTCGATGAACTTTATTAAATGCTTAGATCATCAACAAGATTTCAAGAGAAATTTTGCTTGTTAATGATTTAGTATTCAATAAAAAACGTGTGTGAAAATTAATATTGCACTCAAGAAGGAAGCAAGATCTTAAGTAGTAAGAATATACACTCTCGGTGACGAATACTGGGCTACAAGAGACACAAGAAGAGGAAAAGATAGACATTGTGAGGCATGAAATCAATGACCCTAAGCAGATTATGCACATGACACTGATTCTATATATCTCAGATTGAGACAACTTATGCCCATCATAATTCATCTAAATAAAAACCAAAAAGGTAAAAAATGAAATGTATAATATCTTCTTCCCCTTCTGGCCCTGATGCATCCTATCCTTGTAGTTTAATCCATGAGATGCAAAACACTAGGAAAATTTCGAGTCCACCATCTGTTTGATAGTCTATAAACTCGATCTGTGACCACCCTCAGCTGTCCATTTACTTCATGGAGAAGGAAGGAAGCTGCTTAAATATGAAGACACCTAACCAGTCCCACTGGAGCTGGTGATAGCATGTGTATCATCCCCACAATTATGAAACAAGAAACCAGAGCTTGTGATTTGTTTTTTACTCAGTGAGTTCTATTGTGGTGTCAGCAATAATGTCAGCTACAGGCACGGGAACGAACCTGTTTGTCGTGATATATCGGGTCTCTTCCCAGCCATGAAGAAGACGAGCTTCCAACTGCACCGACGGGACTGAACGATTGTAAAGCGGTGCAAGTAGCGGACGATAATGGCGGACGTCGGGCGGGGCTGGTGTGGGTCGACGTCGCAGCTGCCGAACTTTTACTCGGTGATTACTGCCTTCTTACCAGTCCCCCTGCCACATTGTCGTCTCTCAAAATTGAGTCCCATAAATGCCCTCCCGGAATGCTCTGCTCGGCCAAGCTTTGTACACCTTCCAAGTGGGAAGAACATGGCGGTCAGGGCAATAAAGAAGAGAGAGAAAGAGAGAGAGAGAGAGAGAGAGAGGTAAGCAGTAGGAAATTGAAGGCTTTTAACATCTCAACCAACACACGTACGTCGACTGACAATGCCGCCTGGATGGGAGAACGGGAATTCATGCGTGTGCCACGTACAGCGGCAAAATGGCACAGATCCATTGGCAAAACGACAAACAGGTTCCAGGCATCAGCAATCCCTTCTCAAATATTAGGAGTTGATGATGACGATGAAGCAGGAGAAGTATAAACCAAAGTTAAGGATCGACCAGAAATCGATATGGTCATGGAAGAATAATATTTGAGAAACAAAGAGTCGATCGATGGGAAATTTAATGACAATCCGTATCATCACCACTACGACGAAGACAATTGCAACAAGCAAGAATGACCTAATTATTCGGGAACGAAGGGGTGTCCCAATGGCACGCCCAAAAGTTATGATTCGGGTTAGATTGGTATTAATTCCGGGTCGGACAGAAAAGTAAATGTAACTGGTACCTTGGTCAGGAATATCGAGGTAAAGACAGCTCCAGTTGATGACACGAGAGCTGGCTCCCAGAGAGGTGTTTGGTGGGTACGGTACGGGGGGTGTACCGTTTGGGGCTGTATCGTGGAGCCCTCAACTACTGAATGACTCGGCACGCGACCACCGTTGGATGTGACCGCGTGACGTCGTGTCTCGAGATCCCTATTAGCCCGACTAGTCGAGACGGGCCGGGCGAACGATGACGTCAAATCTCATGGAGATCTTACTTCTCGATGCTTTATGATTCGTGACTATAGAGCTTTAAGATGCGGGATGCGGAGGAAGGCCCATTTCCCGCCTGTTTCCGGCGTCTCGTGAAGACCCATGGATCGAGAAGGAGACGGCTGCTATCTCCTCCGCCCCTTCTCTCTCTTCCCTCGTCGTCCTCGCTCAAAGGTGGGCGATCTCTGCTCGTCCCCCGTTGCTTCATTCCCGACTCCACCCTCGTCTCTTACTCCTCGCATATCGCTGCCTCTCTAGGGTTTCGCAGGCAATTCCTGCTCCGTGCTGCAGCCGCCGATGGAATTTGTTCTCGAGTATTGGATTTCGAGGAACTCTTCATCACCATCTCGGATTCGTTCGTCTCGAGTTCCCCGATCCCTCACTCAGATCCCTGAGAGGGTAAGATCTCCTCCGACCCTTCGCCGAAGCCCGCATCCACTGCTATCTGTCGGCCCAGTAACATCAGGCATCGCTCTCTCAATTAATATTTTTTTGCTTTGTTAGAATAATTTATTTCCTAAAAGGTATACGATAGTTTAGAAATAAATTGCAGTTATTAAAATTGTTTAAAATATTAATTATAAAAATAAGGAATCATAACTCATAACTCATATAAACAATAGACATTTGAGCAAGCAATGTAAA